AGCTTTCCTGACATTGGAATTCCAGTAGGAAAAGCCAGATGCTCGGTTAAGGAGAATCCAATAACTTCAAATTTAATACAGCTATCTTGCATGTAATTCCCCCAGTAAAAACAGCTAATTAGCATCCTGAATATTTACATCTTATTGCATCTTCATATACAGCCCCTTAACCTCCCTTGCTAATGATGTTAAGGCAGTATTAAAAATAAGGGGCTGATCTATGACCAGATATTTTCAAAGGGTAGTCCAAGATTAGACATCCCCAAGCTGATTGGCTGATGATAAACATCAGCCAATCAGCTTGGGGATTGGCTGATTGGCTGGGGATGACCCCACAGTAATGTTTCCCAGCTAATCCCAAATTACCAGAGTGCTAATTTGGGATTAGCACTCTGGTACCAAAACCAGAGTGCTAATCCCAAATTAACTGCCTTAGATTCAGTGACTGTTTTATGAAAGATCTCTACAGAGGGGGGGAAAAAAATCACACAGCAGTGTCTGCAAAATGCAAAACTTCTCATGTATTTCCAGGATTTACACCATGTCTCTAGTGGCACAAAATCCCTCCTTTTCCCAAATGTGGGATTGGTTTAGAATCTATTGGGATTGGAAACAGTTGTTCTAACATCAGAAATTAAGCTTTGTGGATTGGAAGACAATGGGCATGTGCAGCATTTCCACTTAGCTGTGGGGTGTGAAAGCAGGAAAACCTTTTTGAAGCCAGCATTCAGTTTCTGTATTATTTGAAATTAAAACAGCATATCTTGAACTTGAACAAACCATGGATTTTAAATATTGTAGTCCAGGTTTGAATAGCCCACATGTAGCGGTGCTTATTCTTTCCAAATCTACATGTGTTCTTCACACCACATAAGCAACTGAAATGTCCAAACACAGATTGTTCAGAGGTTGTTAACAATATCTCAAGAACTCCTTCCTTAGTAATCGTCTCCAGTGTACAGTGTGAAGCTTAAATAATTCACCTCTATATCCAGGGCTCATGATAATTGCTTAGAGCAGTGGATCTCAATCCTGTTTCTAAGAATCCACTCTCCTTTATCTTTGATGACTCCGGCACACCAGATTCAAATGAGTGGATTACCTTCTCAACATGCCTTCAAGTGCCAGGTTTCAGAACTGCCGGTTTATATTTCACCAGAGAAGGTCACATGCTGACAGCCACTGGAGATAGTCTTTGCTAATGACAATAAACACTATCATGCAATTTTGTAAGATCTGGCTCTTCGAGATACTGTAACACCACCGATGACAATAAATACAATATATAGTGTTGCACCAAAAGTCTTTTATGAGCATAGGTAATATCATTGTGAATTTGATTTATTTTTTCGCTTCAGTAAGGAGTTATTTGTCTCTCAAACTACAAAATAGAAGGTACCTTGAACTGTCTTAAATCAAAAATGATGGTTTGTACATGACTTCTTCTTGGACCAGAGCAAGATGATACAGACTTGCATTAATTATTTTCTTTAAAGTATATTTTCTGGTGTGAGAATTTCTGGATTTATTTATTTTTGCTTCCATCTTCAGCAGAAACTGCAGACACAAGACAGCCTTTTTATTACTCAGATTTTGAATGGACCTTCTCTTTAAATTATGAGGAAACAACAGATTTTGAACACACCGATGTAAAATGTCTATTCCTGAAAGAGACTGCTTCGGGAACGATTACATCGCTACCAAACACCTTCACAGTGAAATGAACTAAACTAAACTGACCTCCTCCTGTTGATCCAACTTTTATTATTTATTGTTCTATAATTATTGCTATACATAGTTTAAATGAGGTTGAATCCATGTAAGACACATATGCACTGGGTTTGCTCTCCCCCATTCCTCTACACCATCTTTCCTTTTATCTTCTTCATTATGTTCCCCACACTCTATCTTTCTATCTTTTCTCTTCGTTGGGCATGGCATTCCATTAATCTCCCCAACAGATTGGCTCTATTAATTAGTCTACATTTCCCATCTTGTGTCCAATAATCAAAGGTAATAGAGATATTATAAAGATATAGATATGCCTTGCATCACACTCACTTTTAATTAGCCTAAAGATTAAAAGATAGAATCGTGTCAGTCTGGCTGACGTCCGCGGGTATTGCAAGGTCTTTTTATCGCTGCAACATTTAGGCGCGTGGCATATTCTGAGGCAAATTTAGTGTGTCAGTTCTGAATATAATCTCTTATTTAATGCCTTATAGGGCACTTCAATATGGAGGTAATAATGTGACATTTTCTAAGGATGAAGCATCTTTTCAGCTCCTCATCTATGCCTTTCCAGATATAAAAATATACCTCATAAACATCTACATCTGCAGAGTAACATGCAGAGGTGTCCTGCTCTAGATCAAATGCATTTCCTTTTTTTTTTATTCTGTTGTATAAACATGACACTCTAAAGTTTAAACGGGTGATGAAAAATAATGAAGGATGCATTTGTCCACCGTGTCTGGTGGTAATTGAAAGGTTGAAGGTCGACTAAACAGAAGAGAGCAGATGGATGATAACAAATGTGATTTTAAGCAGTGAGTGTGTGCGCATGAACAAGCAAATACATCAGTGTACATTAATTACACACCAGACCTGTGATGCAGAAGAAGACTTAAAATCACAAAAATTTGGATTTGTCACACACTGCTATTCAGAAGAATACATCACAGTGAAAACTGACCTGAAAACTTCCGTGTGTTTTGAGCTTCTAAACACTTTACCCTTGTTAAACCTCTGCTGTTGCTTCCCTGTTGAATGAACCCCACGCCGTTTGATAGCTGATGTTTCTGAATCATTCCCTAAAGACTCATTACTCACCCCAGTCCAGTCAGAGCGGTGCCTCAAGGGGACACATAATGAAGAAAATGGAAAATTGAACACAAGATCCCAGAGTGCACCACTAAACCCTTCTTTATAACATTACCCAGGATAAAAATAAAGAAAAACACAGCTGCCCACTTATTAAGACCCCACAGTAATGTTTCCCAGCGGATCGCTCGGGTCTTCATTGTTTTATTTGCTAAAAGAGTTTCTCTCACATTTGAGCCTTTAAGACATTTTAGAAACTTTTTTCTAAAGAATTTTGTTGATTTTAGTTCAAAACTAGTTCACATTTCTTCTACTTTGTAGCCACTTTGTAGTACTTTCAGTCAATCAAAGGGGTTAGGAACTGTGTTTAAACTCTATCACATTTCTGCAACAAGGTGCGATGAAGTTGTGTAAGTTTGCCAACGCTAACAAATATTTTGTCTTATTTCTAGTTCAAACAATCTCTTTATACTTAAAATAATAACAATATCAACAAAGTGTTTTACAACTTGGGGTAGCTGATTAACATTAAAGAGGTGCCATGAACCTGAAACAGGACCTAATATAACAGACAGGGAGAGAAAGTTCAAACCATCTCTTCCATTGATTGTAATGCGCAAAAATTGGCAAATAAACCGGATGCTCTGGACCCTCTGGAAATGACTGTGGAAAGATTTTTTACATCAAATAAAGAACATAATGGACAACCATGAGCACACTCCTTATCAAGCTGCTATAACACCATGTATCATCTTCTGTCAGAGGCTTCTGTAGAGCATCAGTAACACAGATCGCTGCAGGAGAGCATCCTTTTTCACAATGATAACTAAGGTCTGATATTTATACAGGAATGAAAAACTGTGTGCTCAGCGTCTGATGTTTGTTTGCAGCACATCATCAGTGAACAGCCCTGATGCAAACACTGCACTTCCATCAGTGTGGCATTCAGTGTCATGAATATATAAATAAAACCAATATCAATGTGTTTACTGCAACAAAAGGCTACATTTTCACTCTTTTTAAGAAAAATAAAACAAAGAAATCTTAGTAATATACCAGAAATGCCATTATATCATTATTTGCAAGACTAGAGGACCAGAGAAAACCAATATGTATTAGAACAAATTTCAAACCCGAGACAAATCAATGAGGCAACAGAGCAACCCATTCCACCACAAAGCATTTGTGTGGATTTGTATAAACAGTTAAGTTATATCTGAAGTTATATTTATTTCCTTTTATGCAGTCTTCTCCTCAGATGGAGATGAATTAGTCAAAACATTCAAGTTTAATTTATCGAGTTACATTGTTAGAATTCTTTGGAAGGTAATTAAGTACAGACGACTTAAACATCACACAAGTACAACACAAATCATGCAAATGTAAATTACATTGGTGTGCCCCTATGAAATTAACTCTTAGTAGTTCAGTATGTTACTGAGATTCAGACCAGACTAAAATAAACTTGCTCACCTTTATAAATTATTATTGTTTAGAGCAACATTGATTTAGAGTTTACTTCACTCTCAGGGGTTTTATGTGGCAAATGAAAGTCGACTAACTAAAGTAAACCATATATATATATATGTATATATATATGAAAAATCTTTTGAGACTCATTGTTTCATTTACAAGACAGACCTGTTTCATACACTGCAAAAATATATATAAAAATAACAACTCAAAATACTTAGCATTTCTAAATATCAATACTATATTAAAAATATATTTTTAAATGATAATTTTTTTAATTAAATTTCTTCCTAAAAATTGTTCTATTCTGAAATGATTGCAGTTTATAGGAGTGTTCAAAAAATATTTTCTGTTTTTCCATGTCCTGAGTTTATTGACAGGAGTTTGACACAAAGTCAACAAAAAAAATATAATGTTTTGCTCAACAAAATGTAAAACCAAAGCCTGAGCCTCTGGCTACTGTTTTTAAAGCCACAGCCAAAGTGACCCACTAGAAGATAATCTGATGGATAGGATCAACATGTTTAAGGCTGAACTTGTGTGATTAATTAGTAACTTTGAGGAAAAACAGTTTATAGGTGGAGAAATATTCATGCTTAAACAGCTTCCACACAAATTGCAATGTTGCCTCACATTTGATTCGATCGTGCATTTTAATACTGTATATTAATTTTCGTTCTGGTTGGCTGTGTGTGTTCATGCAGGTTCAGATGAAGATGAAGTCTGCGGGCGTCGTGGATGGAGGTTTATTCACAGAGAGCTATTGCAACATCTGCAATGCTCAGCTCATCTCCGAGTCCCAGCGCACCGCTCACTATGAGGTGAGCTTGTGTCTTCAGTTTCAGAGTTATTTTTCAGAGGAATTAAAAGTAGGATGGTCTAAAGCAAAAACTGTCTATATGATTACTACTACTTTTTTATTTCTGATTCCTGCAATGCATCTGCTTTATTTGTACCAATTTGTGCTTGTGCCATTCATCACTGTGCTCATCCATTATACATCGGATTACATGAATATGGTAGTTACTTGCTCGCTTTGTTTTAATGTGGTCTACTTTTCAGCAGACCTTCTATTAGTATTATAATGAAAGGCCATTAAATAATCAGTCTTTAAATTAGGTAATCTGAATCTATATGCGAGTGCATCTGTTTGTTTATCAGGGCGTTCTTGATTCTGTGCGAAGCACTGAGGTCAATGTTGATTATATATGGCAGGATTAGAATTTAAAAAGTGGACTAATGAGAATGAGTGGCTTTTTTGAGAGACTTAAGCAAGGACAATGACTGTGTGCGTGCGTGTGCTTGCGTGTGTGTGCATCTGTCTGCTCACAGGTGTATATGCTTTATTCTCATTCAATGACAATCTATTTCTGACCTTGATTTTTTAAGCCTGACAAAATCAAAGCAGGCGTTAGATATAGAGGACAAGATGAGTCACACCATGTTGTCGGAATCGGCCTTTATAAAAGATCTCTGCAGAGGTCAATGGATCAAAAAGACAAGGCAAGAAATCACTTGAAGGCAGGTGATTTTGGTACATTGCAGTATTGTGAAAGCATTATTCACCCCGCCACAGATTTTTTTTGTAACATTTAGAATCTTAGAATGTTTAAATCTATTTTAATGTCAAACCAGTAACCTAAGTGAATAATAAAATTGCTTAGATCAGGTTGAGTGTGGCCAATAGCTCTTCTCAAGGTGCTGGGGGTTCAGGAAGGGAAAGGTCGTGAAAATATAGTGGAATAAATTATTGAACATTTAGCTTCACCAAACTTATGCCAGAAGCAAAATCAATTTATTTAAGGCATTTAAAACTACAGTGAGTAAGGAGGCAGGTTTAAGTCAGGCATCTGGAGAAGAGGATTTAGCCTATAAAGTGCTGTCCATTAAAGGGTTAAACAATGCAGCGTAATTACATGTTTAATTTCACATATCTATATTTATGTTCCCTGAACAAGTTTTCTCCTACTTCTATGCATAGTGGAGCAAGTTTCCCTTATTTCTTGTTGTGTGCTGGGAAACTTCATTACCTGTGTTCTGCTACAAAAAAAGAAAAAAAAAAATCTCACAATTGCTTGCATTTTAATTGGTTGTAGTGCTGCAGGAGGGACTTGCGCATGACACAAACAACGTGCACATGTGAATTTACATTTTGTTTCTGCATCTGTTTTCTGTTTTATGTGCCAAATAGGCAAACATACTGTTATTATTTGAGAGAGAAACAGCAAAAACTAACAAAATTCTTTGTTTGTAACTTAAAGACTTGACTTATGTAGACTTTATTCAACTCATTTCAGTCAACAGATCTTAAATTTCAAATAAAGATCAAATAAGAAGTATGTTTCCTTGACGTGCAAAACAACCAATTTTCTTTCATACAAACAAAAATTAGGCCTAAGTAAATGGGGGTCTTGTAGCTGAAAGAACTCTTCGAAATGAAAGAGAAAAACATTGAAACTTGCAAAGTGTCAAAATGTCAAAGCTATGTCTTCACATATGTGTTTTTGACCACCTGAAACACATATGAAGACATGTTTCTGATGATCATCATCTTGACTCTGATCTTTATATGTGCTGTATGTTGCATGTATACAAAACTCACCATCACAAAATGCCTTTTTTTCCTTTTAGCAGCCCTCTCCTCTGTCTCCATCCACTTGATTTGACACAACAACACAGGAAAAGGAGAGAAAAGAAACATGCATCGTCCATTAGAGCAGCGAGCACTGAGGGTCATTGCAGGGTAGCCTACCAACTCAAGGTCCAGCTTTTACAGTCCAGCTCCCTGAGCCATCACAAACACAGCCATTTATATACCTATAAACGCACAGTATACTCTCAAGACACTCGAAAACGTGCATATACCCCCTTACAAAACGCATTAACAGCCATGTGTCAAGTGAGGCTGAGGAGGAATTCTTCTGCTGGGGGGGAAAAGATCCAATATAAGCTGATGGGCTACAAGTGCAAGTGCAAGTCTTATCACAGTTTCCCAATTGCCTTCTTTGTATGCTTTTCAGCCGTGATAATCGTCTTGCTTCACTAGAACATTAGCCTCAGTAGAACATGTCCCATCAGCTTCCAACTGCTATACATGTTTGATTTAGATGCTTGAAATCTTTATTTGTATCTCAGCTTTTTATCCTGTTTCTCTTTGTAGCTCTGAAACAGCAGCAGTCCATAGAGATTAGAGACAATCCTAGGTTTTATATAGAGATTGGAAATGAAGGCCTGACTTTGCCTGAGATGTCTGATCACGTTCACATTTACACATCTCTGCCCTGCAGTTTGTCCGGTTATTTCCATTGCTCGTTATTGAAGTGACAGCTAGCAGCTACAAGGACAGCTCACTGTCTTTTCATATAAATATTTCTGCACTCATTATTGCTTATAGTCTTTATATTTTAAACCCATATGACACAGGAAGCGATTGCATTAGGAGAACGCTCTAAATAGGTAGGGAACAAATAAAAAAATATTTTGCACTCAAAACAATCACAGTAGATGTCACATTAACATATCTAATACATTTGTTGAATTTTTATTTTTTCCTTTTTGTTGGGTTTCATATTTATAGGTAACTATGACATTGTTGTTGTTGCCATAATTATCACATGTTGGCCCTAAACTCTTTTCTCACTTCTCTCAGCAATAGAAAGTGTGAATTTGCAGGTGAAGAAATGTCCAACTCCCTAATCTCCTTCTTAATATTGTAATTATCTCTTAGGAAGCTGATTGCAATTTATCACAGTGTGCTACAAAAACACCATTCCTCTTGAGCTTCTTTGCATTTCGTCTCATTACAACCACAGACTTTAACATATTTTTGCTAGCATTTTATAGATTACATGAGCATAGTAGTTACTTGCACCTAAACATGCTCACTTTGTTTTAATGTGGTCTACTTTTCAGAAGACCTTCTATTAGTATTATAATAAAAGGCCATTAAATAATCAGTCGTTAAATTACAAAATAGTACAAAACGGCTAACTGGCATCAAAATAACACACCAATTCATCAACTAGCTACATATACTATCAAATTAATACATAGTTTACACTATTACACCATATTAGATAAAAGTAAAATGCTGCAAAGTGGCCCACTTACATTTGTACTGAGGTCTTCTCAGTTGATACTTTATAAAACCACATTTCTCTGCAAATTCAGCTTGTTGTATCAGTATTACATCTCAAAAAGCTTTGCATGACTATTAAGAAGCAATGGGATTTCTTTCATTTTAGTTTTACTGTGTGTAAATTAACCTTTTGTATGTGTGGTTGAAATGTTTGTTGTCTTGTGGGTGTCTTCTGTGGCAGCCATCTTGGAAACCTGCTAAAGAGGAGGCCCGCCTTAAACTCAGCTCTTTTACAGAAAGAGCAGGGATAAGAGCTGGAGTTTGATTGGCCGATTTAAATTGAAAAGGCGGTGTTTAATGTAAGTGGACTGCTGTATGAAGAAGAGAGAACTAGAACATGCAGGATACCGGTCTTACAGGACTGCCTTTGGACGCAGAGTTCTGGCTGTCTGTTCCTGAGATAAAACTGGTGAACCTCCTCCTAATTATCAAGTGTTTTGCTGCCTCTAACTAATTTCCCTTCAGGATTGCATGTCTGTTGAAACATGTATCCCTATAGCATGATGCTCTCACTATTTGTCACTGTGCTCTTTTCAGGAAGATGTGCATTATTTTTCCCCATAGCCTCTTGCCTGTCATGCAAAATGTTTAATTTTAGTCTCATCTGACCAGACCAGTTTGACGTTTCAAACAGATTCATGAGCTATAGGTCTCTCCAGCTTCCCCAGCTTTCCCATAGGCCTCTTGGATGCTTCTCGGATTAGCACCCTCCTATCCCAAACTAACATTTTAGATGAATGTTCGAGTCTCTCTGGCTTTGCAATCGTGCCATATTCTTTTCATTTTCAGATGGTGGATAGAACAGTGTTACTGATTTACAACCTATCCCTGCTTTATAAGCATACCACTGTTTTCAGCATGCTTTTTCTTCAGATTTTGTTATGTGCTACTTTGTGCTGGTCTATGTCACAAAAGGTCTAACTGAAATATATAAAAATTTGTGGTTGTGGCATGCAACCACAAATTTGGTGAAAGAATTAATGCGTTCCAACTCTAAACCTTTGTTGGCAGAAAACCCTCTAAACTAAAAGCATGGAGAGACATGGCGAGATGGAGTGGTGGTTGTGGACTGTCTTCAGATTTTTTACTTTCTGTCTTTCTTGCAGAGTAAGAAACACGCTAACAAGGTGCGTCTGTTCTACATGCTTCACCCTGAAGATGGAGGACCACCTTCCAAAAGACTGAGGCCAGATAACCCAGTAAGCTCATACTTAATGTTAGTGTATATTTATTAGTCTTTTTCTGTTTTACTAATTTAATATGAATATATTTTTTTCAAATCAAAGTAGAAGGAGTTTATAGAAGGAATTTCCTTTTTATATTTTTTTTCTAAATGGCAAAAATCTACACTGACCATCTACAGTTGGAGACCATAACTGCTGTAGGAAAGTGTTTGCTCTTCCTTATAAATATTCCTGAGCATGTTTTGTAAGATTGAGTAGAAAATCTGACAAGTCCTATATCTGACAATTGCAGCCCTTTTCTAAAGAGGTCATTCTATTATTCCAGTCCTCCTGTGTGAATTTGCCCTGGAAATGGCATGATTTGCATCTTTTGCAACTATGGCCATCGCTGAGGTTGCATTTGCATTTGTAGCAAATTGTTGCACATCAAACATGAGGCATAGAAGGTATTTTGGTGCTTGTTTAAATGTGCAGCCATTATTATGTATTGAGAGTCCTACAAGAAAATGTACAACTCCACAATGTGTGCCAGTTATTTGGAATGGCCCATGTGTCATGAAGTTAAATAAACAAAAATAATATTTCCAGTGTCTGCTTTGGAGAAACAGCTTTTAAGAAATGATAATAATAATAATAATAAAAAAAAAACTTCATACCACAATCAAAACATTTTGCCAGAATAGAAGGCTAGTCAACGTGGAGAGATCACTGACTTTTTCTTTTTCTTGTCAGAAAATGTAACACTTTGACTAAATGAGCTGAAGCAATTATCAATATTCCCATTGTTGGAGATACCAGATAGAATTGTCTTTATTTTTATTAGCAAAATTATTAGGACAGATTTTGCTCCAGAATAGAAAGAGAGTAGTGTACTGCAGAGTTACTGCTATAAACCAATTGCCTTTGTTGAGATAAAAACATTCCCTTGTGATATATTGCCCTAGATTTTAATGTATCCCCCTTGCCCGATAAGATGAGATTCTCTGATGTCTTTGTTTTTCTCCCACTGTTTATAGTTGTGTAGACTGTGATTGTTTTACATAATTTATTTCCTCCGTGTGCATCCAAACATTCATTATCACATAAAATATTATATTTACTGGTAATCCTATTTTAACCACAATTAAAATATATTTGGTCTAAAATCTGAGATGCACATATCAGGTATTTATGGATCAATACATATTTAAATATTTGAAGGTCCAACATGCTGATTTGGACCTTGTTTACTCGCACTGTCACACACATTAAGTCACTACAAGTACTGTATCAATAGAACAATTAAGTGGAAAGGCAAGGAATCTCAATGTAAAAAAGAGATCCGTTAAGAATGACAAATGAAATTAGAAATTGACAAAACTAATTTAAAAGTACATTTTTAAAAATTTAAGTTTTCCATTGTCTCTGAGGTTTTAATTAACTAAGAGTTTGCAAAAGAAAAATTACAATTTTGCAACCACTCAATATCAATTAAAGTCAAAGCACAGAAGCAATCATAATAGAGGAGGAAAGCAGCCTTACTTGTTGAGATCTGTGCAACATTCCCTGAAACCAGGTTAAGCCTTTTATGCATTTCCCCACCTCCATCTCTATTAGCTTGAAAGATAATGAGGTCTCTGGTTTAACAGCGGTTCAGTCTGCCAAGGGTTGATCTAAGCCTATCAGGTGCACTGTCTCTTCTGGCACAGGCTTGTGGATGTCTGACGGTCCCTTAACCGGATCACTACAACTCAGGTTGCTGATACGAATGGAAAACACTTAGAGAAATTGACTAAGTGACACTAAGTGCATGTCTGAGTTATATAGGCAGAAATTTCCATTAATCTGTTAGAATTTAGGGCAATAAAACCTAGAAAAGGTGATTAGTCTTACATGCAATTTGATTGGGAGAATATTGTTGATAGAAATTTTAGTTCTGTCATAGTCTGTGCTTCCAGAAGAAAAAGTTGTCTCAATCAACTGGATTTAGTTTAAAGTTGGGCACTCGGCAGTAAGTGGACTCCTCTTTTTCTCTTTTTTCTTCAGACATCAGACAGACCAAAGTTTTAAAACAATCTATAACTTTAGCTGTAAGTTTTTTTTCTTACAATCCTGCAGTGGCTCAGTGTTGCTGGTTTGAACCCACTTTCCATCCGTCTTGGTTGCCAGATCTAAAAAAGAAATACACAAATGAAAACCTTCATGTACTCATAATAATAACTAAAAGACAGGTTTAGACACTAAATTTGACACAATTAATATTTAAAACTATGACTCACACTGGATTATTTTGAAGTGTTCAGAATTTCTGCAGGAGCAAAATAATAAGACTTCAAAGAAACTAAAACATCTATTTACAGGCACTCAGACGAAAACACTTATGCTTATCAGCTGACAAGCACATAGTCTTCTCGTGTTTTTCAGAGTTACCAGCTGCACGGAAAAGAATTTGCTTTTTACCGAACCTTAAAATATACAAGGTCCTTTTAAGGTGACATACAGAAAATACCATAGGTATGTGAACTAAAGTGGGTTTTAGTTCACATACCTATGACTATCTTTTATTATTCTCGGAATCATCCAACACCTTACCAAATAAGCCATTCCGACTCAAAGGCCAAATTCAACATTAGAGAGTCTGTTTTCTGGCTTTGACGTTGTTTTTCTTATGGAAAAAAGTGACAACTCCTGCTTTTTATCTAACTTTCGAATGCATGCAGGTATCATGGCATTGAGGGAGCCTAAAAGTCCGTTTATAAACAGAAAACTGATGAGTGGTAGACGAGTACCTAAAGCTTTTCCATCATTGGAAATGGAAAATAAAGCAAACTGGAATCCAGTATTATCCATATTCAAGGCACATAAAGAGAGCATTTCTGAAAAAGTTCAAGAAAGGTTTTGACAAAATGAAATTGGGAACTTAAGATGTCTTTAAGCTGGAATTGAGTTCCACTTGGATTCAGCACTGTTCAGATGTTTAATACTTACCTTGGCTCTATTAAACTCTAACATAGTTTCTAATAGAAGTAAAATTGTCCAGATTACACTTATAAAATGATTTGTCAAAATATTTGGGCTCTACACTTACACTGACACCCAGTGCAGAAATATAGACACCTGCGTCTCCATCTGTCTCCCAAGGTGAATAAGACATGACTCAGCCCATCCTGGCCTGCACCTCATATGGGACAGTGAATGCATATAAACAGGTCATCAGACAAGCACACACCAATCATCTGCCATACTGTAATGCAGTGTGAGTGTTGCAGCTAGTGCTTTGTGCTTCATTGTATCAGATAGAGCTGGGAAGCTGATATTAGATGAGCAGAGATGAAATACTCAGTCAGTCTGGGAAAAAAAAAATCTTTTCTCCTTTCATCTATTTTATCTTTCCCCTCCCATGGGAACTTTCACACACATTTTCTCACCGCTGCATCTAAGTGTGTTTTTTTTCTCTCTCTGTCTCTGTTTTTGCTCTGATTGACACGCCGCTGTCCGGTGGGAGAAGCAGAAAAGGTTTTCCTCAGAGTCAATGAACTGCCAGAGTAAAATGCCATGCCTTAAGGTTTTCTGTGTTTGTGTGTAAAGTGGAAGTGTTTGTCACAGAGAAGATGGAGAAAAAGTAGGTTGTAAAGGTGCTCGCAAATGTAAGGGATGGTTTCTTTAACCTCTCATTTTATCTGTGCAGTTTTCTACCTTTGCAGGGGGTGAAAAATATCACATTATCCCTTCAGCTTTTATTCTTGTGTTATGATGCTTGTGCTGTTATCCCTTTCAATTTGCCCTTAGCGCTTCCTCAAACTCTGCACTGCTTCACATGTAAATTTAGCAAGACTTCCCACAGCAACCCGGCGCAGAACGGTGGGAGAATCAAGAAGGAGCTGAGAAAAACAAAACAGAAGGAAAAGAAGATAAACACTGCTAATTAAGAGTCTATTGTTAGTTGCATGAGTTGGAAGAAGTCACCCTAACAAAAAAATAAATATGTACGCAATACAGACGTCACTGTCAGACAGCTGATAAGAAGGCATACATGCATGTTGATACAAGCACACACAACAATTAGATTGCATGCAAATCAGTTGCGATAGATGTTTGAAGTGTGACTGGTAACAACGGTAAAATAACAGGAAAATTCGGAAAGGTTGATGACTTTCAGCAAAGGCAGAGGATAGAGGGAAACAGTGAGTCAGGCATGTTGTTTATTGTTTAAAGGGGTTGTGCAGAGTGGCAGCCATAATGAGATGGCAATTATTCAACTGTCAGTCACCCACACATGCATGAAATTGTTTAAAAACTTTTCCCCTGCTTTCACTAAATCCCTGGTGTGACATATTTCGTCTTTTCAATCAGATGCTTCACTGTGGTTTGGTTTCCATTTGTCTCACTGAATCTTTTACTCTTCTCTGAGTCTTGACAGGTGAGACCCCTGCAAGTTTCTGCATGGTGTCATCTTCAGATCTTTGTCCCTAACCAATAAAAAAATAAGAAAAAAAAATGCTACAGGAGGACGGGCTGCTCCAGTTGATTTCCCTCAGCTAAGATTTTGGTTCAGAGAGGTTTGAAGTAAACAATGTAAGCGAGGGTTTAGGTGGAAGGAAGGAACGGAAGGATAAAAAGAGAAGGAAATGTTGCATAAAGTACACATGAGAGACTTTGGGGGAGGAGAGATGAAGGAATGGGGGATATGAGAGGAAAAACTCTGTTTAAAAACAAGACGGGATAGAAAGCATTTCCCCTCCGGATAACTACAGTGTATCTGAAATGGCACAGAATTGAATACCATATAACTATGGAAATTTTTACTTTTTAAAGCAACATAACATCAAAAAAGTGCAGATAATTTTCTGCTATTGGGATTTATCTGTCATTTACATATAACATCGATAAATCAGTCAGTGAATATGTCAACTAATTTTTTTTCTCCACTTGGTTGCTTAGAGCAAGGATGGAGTGAGCACTTTTCCCTCAGACATCAGCAATGTTGGAAATGTGAAAGTTAACACTTTCACAATGCTAAGCAAACACAGTGACAGTTTTACTCCAACTGCAGTCTTGGTATTATACCAACAGTAACTCAGGGAACATAACACAACTCAGTTCATACGATGTGTAAATCTGATAGCCGAAGCAGGGAGTCACCAGCCTGACCAATGATTTGACCAAAGCTAAAAGCCTAACATTTCACATGTATGTTTAACCTTGGTAACTATCTCATTATTATTAAATATTTGAAACAAACCAAACAGAAAGGACAATATTTAGCTACAGATGCCATCTCAGTATTTCAGCTTGGTTTCAACTCCTACATCTGTTGCATTAGGTTTGTGTCACATTCGAGAGCCAAATGGCATGTTGTTGTGGAGACTAAATGCAGATGGACTGGTAGACTATTACATGCATAAAATAGTGCCCTTAAACTAACACTCTGTCAGTTTCATTAGTGTAGTACAGTTAGGTCCTCACGAGTAAAATATGGACTGATTTTGTCGAGAAAATGAGACTTGCAGAATCAATGCACAGCTTTCTCATATAATGTATGCTACATTGGCGATATAGTTGTTGGATGAAATGACAGTACTTAAGTCTAGGGACATTAATTTTTTTTATTTTTTTGCAAGCAGACTGGACTCACCACAAAGCATTTTGAATTAAATTCAAGTTTATTTAATAAGCGACAGAGCAGGAAGAAATGTTGCATGTTAGAAACAAAGCAACCATTGTTTTGTTTGAAGATTTTCTCACTACAGGCTAATTTGCAAGCAAAGTCCTTTGACCTTTTTTAACAGATAGCAAAATTGGAATTAAAAATTCTACATATGCACACGCACACACACACACACCCCTACACACACACACACACGCACACACACTAGGATGGTAGTTTGCTAGACCTCCAAAATACTGTTCACAAACTTCCCCATCCTCATGGAGGATTATCCAAATAAATATTCACTATATAATCTCACTCTTGAGCTGCAGATTTGGGTTTTATTACTCTTGTTTGAAACAAACTTTTGGCTACATTCTCAGCTTGTTTTGTGCTCTGTTATGTCTTTGATACTTGTTTTTACATAGTTCTATGTAAATGAACGTTACGATCTACATTTGTTTTATGTCCTACCATCAAAAAAAGATATATTAAAGGGAGAAGTTGCACAAATTATTATGTATGCCATTTAAGTCACAGAAAAGGGAATATAAAGCAGAGAGAGAAATTCAGTTTGTTTTATTGATGCAGGGGAGAGGCGTAGGACAGTTGATGGCACACATTTACACGTCGTTCACAGCAGGAGGAGGCGAAGAGGCGAGGCGGGAAAGGGCAGGGAGAGGAGGGGGTGGCGAGGGCCTGCCAATACAGATAAATATTTCATCCCACAACACACAGAGTCACTGAGACTGGGACCCAGAGGGGGGGAGAGGATGCAGGGGAGGAAATGCTAAGAGCAAAGGGAAGGGGAAGGCAAGCAAGACAAAAAAAAACAAAAGAAAGAGAAGAGAGTAAAGGGGAAGGAGAGAGAAAGAGAAAGAGAGAAAGCCTGGAAGGTAAAGGTGTCCTTATCTCTCACATCACCATCCGTGACGTTAACCCGGGATGACATGAGAGAGACACACACATCCTCAGAGACACACAGCTTTCACCCACTCATTCAAATATGATGTTCAAGGGACTGCGCTGTTACTATATTCACTGATTGTAGCAGCAATTTCTTGTGAAAATCTTTTTGTTCAGTTTTTTTTTGTTTGTTTGTTTGACAGCAGGCAGATAAAAGAAAAATTTTAAAAAATAATAAAACATCCCTAGAAAGTAAAACACAAAAATACAAGGATGGATAAGAAGAAAGAAAGAAAGAAAGAAAGAAAGAAAGAAAGAAAGGTGACACTCAAGACAGATTTATCTAAAATTCTTAGACTGTAAAAGGAGCCATGCAGCTTGTTTCATTTTTTACTGGGGTATTGTACACAAAATCTTTCAAATGTGTTTCAAAAATGTTATGATATTCACATATTTAGGGAGCACAGCAGTTGGGTAGACTTTGAGCAGCAGTCTAAATAAAATATTCTCTACACTAGATAAGAAATGATTTATTTGAAGCTGACTTAAACATGTGTTGTTTTGTTTACAAACATGTCCTCCACAGATTTCTTTTGTTTTTGCTTCTTGTCATGACTAAATATTTTTGATCACCCTATTTTTATTATTTTTTTGGTCTAATACCTTTTATTTGAGAGTGGAAGCGGATCTGTCTCAGTCTTGTAGAGGGCTAAGACATCTGTGCACACACGTTTGGGCATTTCTAATGACAGCAAAGCTGTATTTTTGTCTATCTTTTTCTGGTGAAGATGTGAACTTGTGTGTGTTTGCACATTTTTGTCAGTCAGACAGTTGGTCTTTTCGCTTGCGCCGTCTCCCACGGGGAGTAACACTGGCTCATCATTAGTAATGAACCAGCAGCAGCAGACAGACCACAATCTCAGCCCTGAGAGACAGATGCATATTTGATTGTCATGCTTTTTGCCTTTGTGTGTGTTGGCTGTGTGTGATTGTGTGAGAGAAAAAGCCTACTGAGTTCAGAGAAAGGGTTATTTATCTTTGTTCCCTATTGTATTATCTGCTACTCTTTCACCTGCACTATTTTCTTTTGTGTTTCACCAGATTCACCGTTTTCCTTCCCGGCCTTTTAGCTTCCTTTAACCATCTTTCCCACTTCTGTTCTTCTAGGACTGTGCAGAAACAGAAGTAGACAGAAACAAGTGCTGTACCTTGTGCAACATGTTCTTCACCTCCGCCATCGTGGCCCAGTCCCACTACCAAGGGAAAACACACGCCAAGAGAGTGCGCCTAGTGCTTGGGGAATCACCAAACCTACATACAGCCATAACCAGCCCTACAAACACAGGTACATTTTACCCTTGTTGTTGTCTGTGCAAATCATTATAGCAATAATGTAGACAACTTGATTTTAGAACTACTGAAAAATTCATTATTAATTAATAAAAAATTTTAAAAATTCTAAAATATATTGACAAAAGGCAATTATTTATCAGAAACAAACTAGGAAACTTATATTTAAAGGGGAGGTATTATAGAAAATAGAATTTTTTAGTTTTAAATTTTGTCATAACATTATTCCCTCTTCAAAAACAAACCCAGAGAGTTGCTTTCATACCACCTGTGAAAGCATCGAGCTGGGTGTGTCATTTTACAGGTATGCTTTCCTCCAGCAGGACTTAGATGCTACGATAGCTACCTTGAGTTCCACCAAGCATCAGACAGTGCATGATGAAACTGGGAGACCACCTGTATTTTATTTTACACCACCTGTATAAAAGAAACTTAAAGCTGAAGCAGAACCGGAGCCTTTAACACAGCATTGAACCAAAACATGTTTGTAACACATAATTCTTAATTCATACCTCAGGACTGGATATGAATTAAGAAACAGAAAGCTGAAGGCCAAAACTCAGATCTGTATCCTTTCCATGGTGTAAAACTCGAAATGGACTCAATATATAACATTTTACATCATTTTTAACAATATATCCAATTTTTTATGCATGTAGGTATAGGAATGGCTATATTACATTATAGGCACCTCTCAGTCAGAACATTCCACCTGAAAATCAAGAGAGAAACAATACCAGAGGAGAGCCCAAAGGCAAAATTTCGAAAGCTCAAGGCACAAGGTCAAGAATAAGCCAAAAAATATAATCACTCGAAACAAACTGCAAGCACTGCTGAAGCAGGAAAACCAAGCATCTCTGGAGCATTTGTGGGACTCTTTGCTAAAAAAAAAAAAAAGAGTAAAACAGACTGGAGTAAGCAGTTTTGTGCAACTTCACCTTAAATAAGAGTTCAATTTACAGGCTAACACTTAAATGCTAGTAGTTTATGTTCATGGTTCACCACCTTAAAAATTCTGAAATAAGTTCTATTCCGCCACAAAGTAGTTTAGCATCAAAAGCATCTGCCCATTATTTGCTGTCACTTTTAAGGCACTTCGAGGTGGGTGTTCCACTTGGAAAAAAAGTTTTATTCTGTTTCAAGTTGTCAGCTAACACAGTCAGAAGTCTTGATTTAAAGAAAACATGTACTGCCATTTCACTTAGACTTTCCCATATGATTGGCAAAAAGCTGAGTTAAAAGAGTCCAAATGTATTAGGGTGCAGATTGCAGAAATATTCTGTTTTAACGCTTTGACAAAACAAAAGAAGTACAGAAATATTTTGACATAGTATTTTTTGATGTTTATGGCACAGGCCTTCAATTTATATCATTAGGTTAAAATGATGGGGGAAGCTGGTTCCCAAAGAGACAAATTTGTGTTTAGCAGCAGGAATTGCACCCACACACAGATTCACACTCTTAGCAGTCAACAAACTCTGTTCTTGCAAAGTAAATACTGGAACACTTTTCCACACAAACTAGCTATTGTTTTCCCTCAAAGTTTCTTATTTTACAATGGTGCTGCAAAATATGTAATTATTGCAATATCACTGAATAATACATGAATATTGCAAAGTACCAAGACTGCAAAAAATAGAGTATTAAGTAATTATTTAAATTTCAGGCATTCAGTCTCTCTATGCTACTAATATATTTGGTGACACTTCTTTAATGTACTCTAAAATTTTGAAGAAGCGTAAGTGGTGATAAGTACTAGCCTGGTAAAAAGACAGTGCCTTGCACTTCACTTTGCTCCAGGCAGAGGGTTTGGGCTCTTGGCTGTTGAGAAACGATTGATTCCTTGAGACATGAACTTTGTTGAGGTTTTAAATTGTACCCAATTCCTCGCACTTGCCCATTACCGATGTAATTCGCCAGTTTGATGCTAAGAAACTTATCATAAATAGCTTGTGCTTTAAAAACAACCATCTTCCACTGCGAAGAGAAAAGTGCCAATCTGAACAACGTGGCTGTTAATGTTAATTCAACATATTTGGAAACATGGTCAACACAGAGTTTTTTCATTCACTTCCTCCCCTGCCATTTCTAAAACTAGAAATGGCAGAGAACTACCATTTCTACTGGTCTAAAATTTAGAGATGATCAAGAGAAAAAAAGCCTAAACTGAAAAGGCCATAAAAGTAGCAATACAAAATCTCTGCCAAGTCAAATAATCTGATAGTTATTTCCTAGTCTTTGTTCATGGGTGTTTGAGTATCTTTTTCTTAAATTTATGTTCTGGTGAGTTATCTCCAAGGAAGTTTTACATAATGTGAAACAAATTGGACTGAAAGGGAAAATTCACAGAGCTGTAAACACACCAGTGCTCCAAAACGGAACATTATAATCAACCCCCAAAGTGACTCCTGCTAAACTTTGGCCTACTTTGGAAAACTGTCACTTCTGTGCTGCTGCTGCTGTGGAATTTCTGTCTTTTTATGACAGTGGGACCTGGAGGAAAAGATACAGGGGAAGTAGCACAAGAAGAGAGGAAGAGTGACCTGGGAGAGAAGGAGAGGATTTCAGGAGAGATTAAAGTCAAAGCTAGCCTTTGTGAGCTCACTGAGATGAGTGCAGCGCAAAAGATGCACAGCCAAGTTGACAGGCCGGGCCGTACATGGGCATCACAACACGAATACACTTACATGATCATCAGAAACACACAAAAGCAGAATGACTGATGCATTTACTTAGAAACCTGGACTCCCACATTCACTGAAGTAAGAAAAAGAAAAGTCAATAGATGCCGTAGAAACCCTAGAGAGGTAGAGAAGAGATACCTGTGTCTGTTCCTCTGTGCACATCAATTGAGCACTTCCTGCACACACTCTCTTCCTCTCTCTCTGTGCCCCACTCCATGAAAAACACTTACTTCTGCTCCAATGTACAGAGATCACAGTCAAAAGGGGAAATGGTGGGAAAACAAAGGCAGGGAACGAGAAATTACATTGGATGATCTCTCTCTCTTCGTTTCTGCTCAGTACTTGTTCCACAAAGCTGTCAGAGCTGAGGAACTTCACTCATGCATGGGCACACATAAACAGACAAACATCATCCAGAGCTTTGATGACCCCCTCGTCTTTCACGGGATCAGAGAAAAATTTAAAAACACATGACAGCCACACAGTTATAGGTTTGTGTTTCAGTAACTGAGAAGACGGGGTGGCATGGCAGAGACGAGCAAAGTGAATGTGAGTGGGTGTGGCGGGTTCGATGAGCAGAGGCACAGCCATAGATACGGTAACTATGTGAACAGAGACTGAAGACACATCAAGGTATCAGTAGCCAATCAGATCGCAGAGGTAGAGTTCAGTCAACACAGGACCGATTAGAGCAGACCCTCTCAGTAGCGGACCTCAAGGGTCAGTGGTCAAAAATTCATGCATGCTCTTCATTTGTTAGTGGCTGCAGTTAAATAAGTGACTCATCCTGGTTCAAAACCATGCATGCGTGGGCTTTTGTTTGTGATATAAAATGTTCCAACGTGCGGTAGTGCAGGTTTACCGTCACAATCAGTCTGACTCTGACGTCTTTGACTCATTCAGGATAGTGAATTGGCACATTTGGAGATACCATCTGGCTTCATAAGCTTTCTCTCTCCGTCTGGCTGTGGACCTAGCTCCCCTCCCGGGTTGATGTCTTTCGTACATGTATTGTACCTTAACACATGCAAGCAGGCTGTGCTGGATCGTCGTTCTCGCACATAAACACACACTTTCTCTCAAGGGATTGCACATTCAGTCCGTCGCACAAACACCCACACACACACGCAGATATGCCATCTTTTCTGTGAGAGCCACTACTACGTCCTGTGGCCATATCAGTGCCTGTTGGCTATTAATGGACAATCACCATGGTAACCAGTGTCGTGTCATGAGTAGCAGGTCACCTGGACGTCTGCCATTTCCCCTCTTTTATTCCCTCAGAGGACAGACAAGACAAGGGGATGTTGAAAAAAAGATGAAATGGAAAGGATTAGTAGGATGGTAAATGTGAGCAGAAAGGCAGCTCTTGAAGATTGGACCCCAGAGTGCCGATTACTTCGGCACTCTAAGGTGACAGATCTGGCCAACAAAGTCTAATTTGATGGGTACAAACTACCATTAGCAAGTGTAAATGTAAATGAGTGTGCACAGGACCATGCATTAAAAATGTCATCTTGTTTCATGAGTGAATATGAATGCATTAAATATTATACAAGTATAATAATTTAATAAATATCTTTTCAATTCATGTCATTTTTGCAATAGGGCTCAATTTGCATTTGAATGAACGTTAATATCCACCTTTACTCCCCCTTCTTTTCTTATTAATCCTGTAGAACTGCCTCCTCGGCTCTAATTTTTGCCCTGTTTTTTTTACTTTCTCCTTCAGATTCCTCACCTTCCACCCCGCTGCCCACAGACCCCAACGCTTCCCCTGCCTTACCCTGGCCAACGCCAGAGCTCAGTGGAAACGGTGGCAGAGAGGCTGGGAAGTACTGCTGCCTGTGTGGAGCCTGGTTCAACAACCCTCTGATGGCCCAGCAGCACTACGAGGGGAAGAAACATCGCAGAAATGCCGCCAGGGCCCGCCTCCTGGAGCAGCTAGCAGGCAGTCTGGATGCCACAGAGAGCACAGGTCAGCCTCCAGAGTCCCCACTCAACTTGTTGACAACCGTGGCTTGTGAGCGTGTTACAATGAACAAGGTTAAGTGAGTGATCATATCCTTAGAGTGTGGCGTTGTGGGTGGTAAAATGTCCATACTGTGCACTTGTAAATGTTGTGTACATTTTACATTTGTCACATTGGTATAAGAATCACCAGTTATTTCAGTCAACATTTGCAACAGTTACTTTAAAAAGTACTTACACGTCAAATTTACAGTTTGACTAACTTTGATGTCTAATTGAGAGACATTTAGTTCATTTTTGTTACCCAGCCTTTCTGAATTACATGACTAATGTAATAATCTTTACATTTGTATAGTATCATGTAGGTTTATCATTTTGATAGTTATTAAACTCTGAGGTGTATTTTGAGCAAAGAGTATAAAATAACTTTTACAATAACATACAGTGATCTCAATACAACCACAAATATTTATATATTTTAATCGCAAATCTGAAACCTTTCTCTACTTTAACATATATTTTTTTGTTAAAGTAGAAAAGGTTTCAGATCGCGCACACGTCCTTTTACACACCTCGTAAACGTTATTCACTCTTTTCAGACCATTCAGCAGAAATCACATGTAACGTAGCCTTTACTGGAGTTGTTTTCCTTTCTCTAGAAAAATATCTATCTGAAGACCAGTACAAATAATATTTGTTGATGACCAGAGCAATCAAGTAATTTAAGAATAGTGGATACAATGTGTGTGTGTGTTTTGATTACCTACAGCATTAATCCATTTGATTTTTTTTTTTTTTTGCACAAAAATAATGAGGCATTTATACTTGACCTCTATGTTAGTGTGGGAAAAAGAGCCTTCATAGTGATCATATAAATGCCAGTACAAGTGAACCTGCTCTGCTAAACCACCTTCCTAATAGACTATTATGAGGTGGACGACCAGACACTGCGACAGCGCACAAGGCCAGTTTAACATCAACGATAAACATAGCTTTAGCCTGGGATACGAGATAGTGCTCTCCACAGTAGCTAAGGGAAACATACAGTATATTTATCTTTCATGATTAGTTGAGGAATGGTAATAAAGTGGAATGGTGATAAAACATGAAACTCAAATAAACATCTGACCAGGGCAACTGCAGAATGATCAAGGTGGCAAAAATTAAATCAAAATTCAAAATCTACTAAAAGCCCAGATGGAAAAAGAACAGAAGAAGAGCTATAAACCCCATAGAGTACAACATTTTAAATGAGCAAATATATTAATCCATAGAAATATTTCTCACTCTTTATATAGCTGTGAATTCCTCCTCAACTTTGACCTGATATCTTATTAATTCTGTTTGCTACAGTCTAGCTTTCCAGATCAGTTGTCAGGGTTCACAGTCTGCTCAGATTGCAGCACAGCTTCTACACTTGTTAGTTCTGTATTTTAATGTGCGTAAAACCCATGGGCCTTCTGTTCCATAGCATAATTTAGCTGCTCAAACACCTCATAGTGGAGCAGGATTTTGCAACTACATAAGATGATATCAATATTTATGAAAAAACTTTAACCAATCAAATTCACACTTTAAATTTGTGACAAAATTACAAATATAAAGCAAACAGCAATGTACTTTGCTTTCTTTAGTAGAAAATTGCAATGATGCCATGTCTTTGCTTTTAATTTTCACATTTCAGAGCCTTTCTTCAGTCTGTCTCCCACACAGTTCCAGGCTGAAGGATAGCAAGAAGAAGCAAGGCTATCCTTAATTGAGATGTCATATTAACAAATGTTTGGCAAAGAGATACCATCTAACATCGTCCAACTCCACTTTCAAGTTTGGCGCACCCATGGCGCACATTGCACAGCGTCTACAAGCAAATGCTGATTCTCTAAGAGCCTGAGCTGCGCTGATTGCTCTGTGCTCCAGGTGCTATGACACAAACCATCATCTCAAGAAGCCAATCATATTAAAAGCATGAGTCATGTTGCCGCCTACAGTGGCTCAGAGGCTTTAAAAGTGTCGTATTGGATATCGTCCACAATCCAAACACTGTGACCCAGATCCCACAAACTGAGCTCTCTCTTTCTTTCATAATTTTGACTAAAGCATTTAAATGTGTGCTGTTATAAATATCAAACAGACACCTTGTTGAAAAATATTACATTTGTTGTATTTAAAAAAATTTCTTCCTTCATTAAGATGTCTTCATTATAATCTGAGATGTCATTCTATGATGTGAATTTATTAATATTTTTGCATGATATTTACAAAGTAGAATGAAAGAAAAACATTGTTTTGTATATTTTACTGATGAAAAGCCAAGGCGTGTGCTTGTATTGAGCCCCCTAAATTCGTCCTTTGTAGAATGAATCACCTTCTCTTTATATTACAGCTGCAAATCTTGGAGTACATTTTACCCACTCTTCATTGTAAAATAGCTTAACCTTAGTCAAATTAAATTGAGATGTTCTGTACAGTTGACAGTTATTGCCTCAGGTTTATCTGGGCCACCCGAATGCATAAATCTCGCTTGATCTAAAGAAGGCATTCAGGAGCTCCAGTCACCAAGAGATCCTGTCCCACAGCCTTTACATTAATCATGAAGGTGTGCTTTATTAAAACAAGCATGAGTTCATTAAATGAAGAACACATTATCAGGCCTCTGTGGAACAATGACCTCCTGCAAAGGTAATTCAACCATTTAATCCAGGTGTGTTGAAGTAGGGGTGGATTCAGGAGAGTGGCCCTTTAAAGTCAGGGTTAGAAATTCCTAATCTAAATCTTTGCTTTTTAATGTATTAATTTGCAATGTTCTAAATCCCTCCCAAATATGTTAAAGTTTGGGGCGGTTACAGTTTTTTTTTCACATTTTCTTTATGTAATGACTTGATCTTTTTTGTTTAAATGCGTGACAAGGACCTCAGATATGGCGTCACATCTCAACTGTCATCGTCATTTGCGCTCTGCTAACAAGGATGTAGTGAATTATATACGTAATATTCGTCCCCTCTACTAACTGTGTCTAGAGTCTGCCTACTGTTTTATCCTTGTATCCCAATGATAATACATTCTCACGCTTTCATTAGACTTTCTTATCCTATCTACCCAGCAGCTAAACTTATCACAAAGTAGCATGATATTTACATGAGCATCATTTGTTTCTTGAAGACATTTCCAGTAGATAACGAGAGAGGTGCTGTGGTTGTGGCCAAAGGTGAGGGAAGGAGGCTGCCTCACTCTGCTGAATCTTAACATAAATCACAACAGAGTAGAAACCCCTTAAGAAGGCCCTGTTCTTTGTCTTTGTGGCTCTCTGGAGATTCAGCATGGAATTGGAAGCAGTGAGATAAGCGTCTGGGATGGGAGAGTGTGTGAGTGAACGCTTGCATGGGTCCGTGCGTGGATGATTCGGTTCAGAAGCTGAAAGAATACAGTCTGTTATTGATGGTTGTGTCTCAGTTGTGAGGAAGAGATGACCTCCTGTCCCCGGAGATAGCACTGCTGGACAGAGCTACACATCACTTTCATAGATATCCACAATCTATTCAGGGGTTTGTAGATAAATGTGTTTATCATTGAGTCAAGATCAATAAAATGCCTAACTCTTACAGCAGCAATAGGAAATAGCTTGTTTAAATAAGTTTTTATATAGATTTCTCAATAAATTGTCTTGACAACTGTTTGAGATTACTATAATCAGAAGAGATGGCTCTACATAACATAACTCTGAAGTTCTCATTTGCTCTATGTTCATTAGTATAAACCCTAAGTACCAGTGGGAAGTTGTTTCAAAAACATGACATACCGTCAATTTTGTTAAATATTTTTATGACAAAATCAATTACGATCAGCCCATATTTTCCACTCTGTTTTTCTTCTTTATCACAATGGCCCAATTTCTGCAATTTCTGAGCTTGGTAACTGAGAACTGTCTCATTGTTTGGGTTTAAAGGAAGGTCACAAGTTCATTCAGTTCACACAATTTACTAATGGAAAGCAAAGCTTCAATGCACAACATTGTAATCAACCAAATAATGCAACTAAGAAGTTTTATGCCACTTGCACTACGACACACATTGATTTTGCAATGAGAAGTTCTATTTAGTATGTTGCACAGCTCTCATTTATATCAAAAAAGCAGAACGATATAAGAAAATTATAAGTCCACAGCATCTTTTTGAATCTTCCCCCTAAACCTCACAGCTGAATGACAAAAGACATTGCTGCTGTTGCACTGCTGTCTAATGGACATTCATTTAGGTTGCTGACAAGTAAACAAGTTAATTATATAAACTGTTGGCAAAGGAGATCACAAATATTTGAACTTTACATATTATATTTCTTTAAAGTTGAAAGAATGTCATTGTTTATTTTATTAGAAAATATTGAATGAGACAGACAAACATAATTAATAGTTTGCATTTAAATTATCGTTTTAATATTATTAATGTGCAAAGTGTTTTACAGTAAAATATGTCTTAATCAATGTTGACTTGAAGTGGAAAACAGTTAATCTAAAACACAAACATCAGTTTAGGCGAGTTTTATTCCTTTATGATTTCTACTTCATCCTCTCAGAAACAAATGTCATTTCCAATTTCTGCAAAATTAATTAGACTCTCCTGAAGTCCTTGAAATTTTTCTGGTGAAATTCCTCTTGGAGGCAGACTGCTTCACACTCAACGTTCAACTGTTTTCTGCTGTGATGTGTATGTTGCATTCCTTGGAGACAAGCAGTCAGGCCTATGCATACTGTTAGTTTTGATTGCATCTCCCAGGATTTCTTTTGAATCTGCTTCATTTTTAGTTGTGAACAGTACATGGCCCACTCATGGTGTATCATAGGATCTTAGGGCAATGGGGTGGGAAAACCTTTATAAATCTGTATCCAAGCCAGCAGGACATTAAAAAAAATAATTTCAATTATAAATTTGTTTTGAGATGTTTAACTTTCACTTCTTCTAATTTTACATTGAGTAGAAAAGGAAATGATAAAAAGCACCATTCATAATTTTGGCTGTGCACCTTTATTTTTCATAATCTGCACGGGTTAATTGTCCCTCTCTGCTTGATTTAGTGTAATTTAGCAAACTGTACTCACCATAAACAAGATTTCATAATTGTCAGTGTTAAATGGTACCATAAATCCCTCTGAGACACATAAAAGGAGTTGGAGTAAGAGCTTGGCAGAGCTTTTAAAGTGACTAAGCCACACATATTGTGCCCCTGAAGGGACCAATAACGTTGTGAGACGTGAATCAAAAATGTTCAGTTGTGTATGATATGTAATATTTAAAGGTAGGAAACTGAAGCAAGGACATGTCAAGATTCCTCTGCAGTAATGGCCTCATAATGAGCATTTCTAGATGTTAACATAAAATGTGGTTCATTTTCAACCATTCAAGCAGCATTGATGCATCTGCAAACAAGGAATGGCTGCAGTGCTAGAAGGCTTTGCACACTAAACGACAGTCACAACTCCACACCCACTGCCTTTGCTCATCGCACCCTCTCTTTTCACTCCCTCCCTGGCCTATCTTCTTGTGTAATTAGCAAGGCTTAAAACACCCGCACAAATACTGCTCCCGCTGAAAAAAAACAGCTAAATTCTTAAGCCTGAGCTGCATGCTGTCATGCACACTTTCCTTGCATGTAATTAACATGGATTAGGTCTTTTGCCAGAAACTTATGCCAGAACCAAAAACACAAAGCGTCTGCTCTTGAGTGTACGTTAATGTCTGTCTGTGTGTGTGTGTGTGTGTGTGTGTGTGTGTGTGTGTGTGTGTGTGTGTGTGTGTGTGTGTGTGTGTGTGTGTGTGTGTGTGTGTGTGTGTGTGTGTGTGTGTGTGGGTGTGTGTGTGTGTGTGTTCAGACTACTGGCACCAACACAAAGCGGCAGCATATTGCACATCAGTGCTGCTCGGCCACACACTGGGGAGGTGACATCAATCAGGCAAAAAGCAGGGAAGCTGACATTATCTATCCACATACACACATGCACTAATAACACACTTAGTCTTATAAAGAAGAACAGAAATCTTTGTGTAATCCTTTCAGCAGTATAGATTTATTGAACTAAGAGCAGAATTGGGCATTATTTTCTTTTCAGTTATTTTCCAATAATCACATAGAAATTTAACAATATGAAATTCAGTGGTGCAGTTGGTAGACTCGGGCCTTGGTCATTCCAAATTCTCCGTAGGTGTGAGTGTGTGTGCATGGTTGTTCGTCCTGTCTGTCTCTGTCTTGCGCTGCGACAGACTGCTGACCTGTCCAGGGTGAGCCCTGCCTCTGAAGATAGAGACCAGCACCTCCCAAAAATGGATGGATGGATGGATGGATGGATGGATGGATGGATGGATGGATGGATGGATGGATGGATGGATGGATGGATGGATGGATGGATGGATGGATGGATGGATGGATGGATGGATGGATGGATGGATGGATGGATGGATGGATTACTGAGACTAAACAAGTGTACTTAAATGATGATTTAAAGTTAAGTTATGCTGATCATCAGAAATTTTATCTTATGAATATTTTCCCTTTTTTATTTATTCTTTTCACAGATTTAGCTACCAGCTTTAAAAAGCTTCAAAATATCAGCAAGTTAATCTAATACAGTGCCCTAATTTGCTCTGGGCTTTTCTTTTTTTAATGACTGTATGTCCTTAATCACCCCTGTCACAGACGGAGTGATTCCTGAGGCAACACGAAGTGGATATGCTACATTATGCAGCTCCCACCCAGTCTGAATGATCTCACAATGCTCTCAACTGTGTTACAACTTCATTTCCCAACATAGTTCTTTAGCAATTATTGCCTCGAAAGGTCAGAAGGTGACAGAATACACTGACTAGTCATAAATCTCAAAGACAGTAATGACAGCGGAGAAAAGGGCACCCACACTCAAGCAAACACATCCAGCTCCTTTTGCAGCACAAACTGAATAATAATAGTTCACATTAAAAAAAAACTCCAAAAAATAAAAATCAAACTCTATCAAGCCTGAGGGTCATAGACAGCTAAATTTAAAGCATCAAGGATTATGACCTCTGATCTTCGTAAAGCTCTGCACTGATGTTCCTGATTATACAACATGTTAGAAAACATTAATAGCCCTTCATTGTATCTCTGACCGAGATTACAGAGCCAATTATGTCACGCTGTTGATCACCCCATCCTCCTTGACACAGAGAACATTTTCTCGACTCCCTCTGCCCTCACAAAAGGCAGACATTTTTAGAATCGGTGCTGCCATGCCAACAACTCATTATGTGTCTACTCTTCTTTATCTGTATGTGCATCTTACTTTTCTCTGGAAATTTTTCTCATTTCTGCTAAGCCCTTTCCTTTCCCCTTCCTGCCTCCAAATGTTGTTTCACCCTGCTCTGTCAGTATCTCCAAACTCATCTATTTTTGGGGTGCTCATCCCGACCACCTGCAAACCCTCTAATTAGTTAACATCTGTGTGTGAAGCATGCGTTCACTGCTACAATGTAAAATGTGCATTTATGCACGTCTTTTCGCAGTGGAAGGAAACACAATTAGCTGCTCAGTTCTCTCTGTTCGGTGTCCTGATTCTTGTGTTGAACCCCGCTCAATTTCAAGTTTGGAAGAGACACCCTTGCTCACGCCCACACACATTGTTGCTCGAAAGTCAGAGGCATTGATTGAAGGGCCTAAAACTGTAACTGGTTTTCTGCTAATGATTTGTCTAATCAAATGCTTTTGCAGATGCACTTTAATTAAAAAAAATTACTTTCCAAAGCTGAGAGTAACAGAATCTTATTTAGTATCTGTTGAGAATTGTATTGTTGCCCAAGTTGTCCTCATTCCAGCATGTTTGTACTGCACCTCATAAAGACGGTGGTTTGAATTCTACATATCCAAACTTCTCTGCCCAGTAACTTGTGCAAATACCTGGTTGTGTTTGTTTCTCTCCAGGGCTGCGCAGTAGTTACTCTTGCAGCGTCTGCAGTGTGGTCCTTAATTCCATCGAACAGTACCATGCACACCTCCAGGGCTCCAAGCACCAGAACAAGTGAGTGGAACTGTTGCATGTTCACACAAGTTCATCGCAGTAAATTAGAGTTATCAGCAATAAGTGGATATATTTCAGCTATTTATTTTTAAAATGAATGTTCTTTTAGATGTGTGTAGAAATGTAGGTCGACTGGTTAATGAAGAGCTTCAACTGCCTAAAGAGAAACATGATGAGAAAGCTCGTCAAAACAGCAGAACGCTGCAGCTCCTGAATCGTTCCCTCATTCATGAACAAGACACTTAAACTTCTACACTAGGGGCAGGACGTCCTTCCCAACCCAGAGAAGGCCCTCTTCCCTTTTCAAGCTAACATAAAAATTGAGTCTTAATTTGGCTTTCAGTGAGTCTCTATTGTTTGCTCTGGTCTCTCTCATTTTCCTCTTGACAATACTCCGTCTGTTTTTTGGGGGGATTCAGGTCTGTCGTGCATCCTGGTCAGTCAATCATAGTAATAGCACAGCCATTAAATGGATATTTGTACTTATGATGGTGTGGGCAGGTCCCCATCTGAGACCTTCATTTTCAAATAAAAGATAGTTTCTTCCATCTGAATAGAGGATGTGAACCACTGATCAACTATCCAGTCCAAAACGATCAATAAAACTGACACATATTTTTTTAAATATATTTGCTGCTACCAATAAGCTTTAACTTTAACAGAAGTAATTATTTTGCATCTAATGAACCTATCTTTAAGTCTTGCTTTTTTAATTGAGTTACTTTCCAATTTACCAACATGCATTATGATTATGTTTAAGATGCAAGCACAACTTCTGAGTCTCTGCTTCATTCTCAGAGACCCATTACAAATACCTATGAGAAAAGGCTTAAATACCTTAAATTTAGTCAAAAAATATGAACATAGCCTAAGATACTGTGCATTGCTGCTATGAATTCAGTGGCTTTACTTTTCTTTCTTTTTCAACCCTGAAAGCGCCCTCTCTGAGTTGGTATTGCCGCGCTTTGTTCAGGGAACTATTTGGTCCAAAGAACAAATCCACTCACACCGAGCTTTATGGGGAAAAAAACACTTTGCATTATGTTTAAACAATAGCTACTTTTATCTAAAAGCATATTTTTGGAAAATTGAATTGAATTGGAAGTTAGAAAGATGTGAACAAGTGTTATTCTATGAAAACAAAAACTGATGAAATTATATATATTAAATATATTTAACTGAATGAAATAGTCGCCTTGGAGATGCCACATCAAAGTGATGTCAGATATTTGTGTACAACATTTTCTTCAAAGTTGTTTTGTCTCATTCCTGTCAGATGCAGTTTAACGTTGTTTAGCAGTGTGGAAAGACTACATGAATGACAAATGAAGGATGAATGCTGTACTGCCATTGCAACCCACAAAATGAAAAATACTTTATATCCACCAGCAAAATATAATCTGAAACAGAACTATTGTATTGCATCCATTTACCATGAGATAGCTGTGAGTGTGGTTCAGGCTGTGTTGTGATGCATGGGTGAATGCATCAATGTATTCAAAGCAGTGAAATTAATATCAGTGTTTTGCCTGAAATAAAAAAGCCACAAGGCCTTTTGGCTTTCTATTCATGTTTTCGTTTGTTTTACAGTTAAGGAATCAGAAACATATTATTTTTAATGGCTCAGCCTTCAATGTTCCTCACTGGCGAGTGCAATTCAAACATGTTTGAGGAGGAAAAAAAATAAAACGACTTCAAAATAACTTGTTAAATAGAAATAACATGATTGTTCTTTGAGAATGGTGTTTAGTTAGTCTGTGTTTTTATCGCCATTAAAATACAACTGCCCACATACCATCAATGTCAATATGTTGACAAATTTGTCAGGTGTTTTATGTATTTGTAAGGAGCTGTTGTTAATTGGAAGAGATTAACTTGAAGTGAGAATACAGATTAAGTTCTGGACATCAAACAGATCTTCACATGGAGCTCCGGATAAAAAAGTATGATCTAAACTCACAGAAAGAGAGATTTTTCTAAAGTATCATAACTCTACACAGGAAGAATATTGTGGTGAAAGATGACTGTTCATAACTCTCGTGTCAGTTTTACTGTCGCAGACAGCAGACACTAAAAGAGTCATGTTTATGACAAAGAGAACATAAGCAAGACTAATTGACGGCATCCACCGCAGACACCAAGAGACAGATGAGACGAGACACGCAGGGAGAGGGAAAGAGACATCAGGTTTGAGACAACGGGGTTTAGAGATAGCAAGAGGCCACAATAAAGTAAAGACATGTCTCTATGATATTGTTTCTTATTCACAAAGAAAGGCAGGATGTATTGTAGAAAGGACACTGCAAAGATAATAAAGAGGGAGTGAAACAGACCTGCAGTTAACAATAAATCTCCTAGACTGGGCAAAAAGGTAGAGCTGGAGATATAGAGGAGATTTGGAGTGGACGATGAGGTTAACCCAGCATGCTGACAGGTGCAGAGCTTTAGGATGGAAAGGATGGATAGGCCAGAGACAGATAAGAAGAAATGAGGAAGACTTACAGGGGAGGCACAGGGCTTTTGTTTTTACTGCTCTCACACCAGTCGGCATAAGAAATGGTTACAAAAGGTACAAGACAAGTAGTAGATACATTTTCTGACTCACTGAGTTTTTGATGACACCTCAACTCTGCAGCATTTGAGGACAGGAGGACGGTTGCTGAGGATGATATCTTTCACACACCCACATGCACACACACGCCAGTTTGTATTTCTACTCACATTAGAACTTTGTATTCACTTCCAATCATTTTATTAACTGCAGTTATCCCTTATCCCACACTCCAACAGTTATCCCATAACTAGAGTTATGGGATAACTCCAGTTATCCCATAACCAATACCAGTCTATTCCTAACCCTAAAACTAAACCTGAACTCTAATCACATCTTAATCCTAAATCTAAACCAAAAACAACACTTTGCTGGTCACATTGTCGCAACAACTGTTTGGAAAATGGTCCTTTTTAATGCATTAAAAAAAGAGGTCACACACATAAGCACACACAAACACAAATACGGAGCATGAGAAGAATTTCAACTAGTTCAAACTGTTAATTCAATTAACTGGAAATGCAGCAAGTCCATTACATGTCAAGCTGAAAAGCCTCAAAGCACAGGATGTTTTTAGACACATTGCAGGCGTTGAGAGACTGAATACAACTGATTCTGAAACCTGAAGCCTGGCCAGCTCTGTTGCACTGCGGTATCGATCCTCTGGGTAACGGAGAACAAGACTAAAGGTTCCACCTCATCAGCCTCACTTCCTCTGAATTCACCTAGTCACTTAGGTGAAACACAACACTGCACCAAAAATCTGTGTCTGACAACAGTTTAGGATAAGCCTCATCTCCCACCGTTCCCACACCAACAGGCATCTTATTCTATCCTTTATTGTCCATGGAATGATATAATAATGACAAAATAAAACTTAAAGGTGCATTTTGACAATGCAAACAAGATGTTTCCCTCACACTGAAGAAATGTTACTGATTCAGCATCAGCAATTGTTCCACAACAGCAGGATCTAGAATCCAACTAAATAGGCTGGATCAGACTAATACAGCTTTATTTCTACATGTGAAACTTTCATGATTTTTTTGCTCCTGCCGTTTAATTGAACAAGACGTATGAAAGCAATAACAAAACCATTTTTTTTAATCTCTTGGGTTTTCTGATTTATGAAAATCTAGGACATTTAACATGAGTCACTGGTTATTTTTTGTTTGGAAAAAAATTGCTAATTAATGTTGTTGCTTGTTATGTTATTTAAAATTGATAGCAAAAAAGCTAAGTGTTTAAGGGTTTAAGACGGAAGACAGTTAAAATACAGCGCTGCAAAAATTCAACCGGCAACAAAACTGAACAAATCCCTGATTAAATAATACCACCCTGTCGGGGTCATTTCTGCAGGTAGCTGCTAATGTCATTTGGCCCCTTGTTTTGTAGTTTGTAGAGATAAAGTTGAGCAGTAGCTCCAGAAAACTTTGGTCCTGAAAAAGAATACTGCTGTGGAAACAAATCTGGATAGTAGGTAAGAATTATCTTTAGACATGAAAGTGGCTATATGGGGAGTTATGTTGTGATTTTTTTATTTCTTGGACAATATTTCGATAAGGGCAAAGATTTAGGTCTTCCTAAGTCTTTGCGAGCATATGCATGTTTGTGTTGTATATGAGTTCTTTCATACTAAGTATGAGCTTTGGTTGTGTAAGGAGCGTTCTGGATGTGATGAAAGCGCGGCTGGCAGTGGCAGAGGATTAGCTTCCGCTGAAGAAACGTGCGAGTCCGTATGTGTGTTTTGTGTGGTGATTGGCATTAGGAATCCATCATCCTAAAACAAAGACAGATTTCTCTATTGTATAAACAGCTGGACTCCTCGGTCTACCAGCTTCTCTGTCTTATCTAAGCCGGCCATCTGCTTCACAGGCAGCCGCAGGTCACTGGAAGCACAGCACACTCCACAGTTGGTCCAAACTGGCAACTATAATTGGACTTGTAAAAGATAACAGCAGTAGATATGACATGATAAACTGGCAGCACATTTTTGCAGTTTACACTGTGTGATGATTAAGTCCATGCACTTAGCTGGACAGCAGACAAACAATACAACTGAATCAGGCACATGAGATCGAAAACACAATAACTAAAGCACCCCTAAAATCTAATAACTTAATTGCAAACATGAAAATGAAACAATGGGAAGCAGACCCTCAGCCAGCAGGAGTTGAAACTTGTTTTAGCTTTGCTGTTGTATAAAAAGCAAGTATTTTACTTGTAGCATGGTACATCCTACTGTCAGGTAGAATTATCTACAATATTGTCTAAAAAAATGTTTTAGACTTTCTGTAAGAATACAATTTAGAAGTAATCTGACACACAATTTTATTTTCTAGCAACATATTCCAAAAAGGAGCTCTAAAAATAAAGTTACATCTAAATCCACAGTCGTTAGATTTCAAAATTATGTTCTCTGGAAAATTTCTACACCATTTCTCATTTC